AGACACAGTCATCGCGTCGGCGAATGCTTAAGCGGTTTGTGAACGGAGTCTGCGTGCCGTCGAATTCCTGCTGCCCGGCCAGCCGATCGTAGCCAAACGGCCATAATAAACTACGCCTACAGCACTTCTCTGTACTGTCGCGCACAGGGTGGTCAGCACGTTGTTGAGTGCGATCGATTTAGCCACACTCAGTAGCTAAATGTAACTCAGTGTAGCTAAATGGATAAACCTTCGGGTTTACCGGATCCGGTGAAATATGCAATTCATATTCGTCTCTGCCTGGCCAATAGCTATCGTAAAAACGAGAATGTCTGACCAATGGCTATTGTGAATCGAGTTCCATTGCCACACTGGAAATGTCATTACCAAGTACCAAAACAAGTCAATGGTTATGGAACCAGTGTAGCCAGTGCTGCATAATACAGATGCTTATGCAGTTATGCTGTAGTTATTTTCTTCTTGTCACTTAGTGTCTTATTTCGCTCCTTATTTATGTTTTTCTTTTTTTTGTTTTTTCTTGTCACTGAGTTTCACTTGGTTTCTTATCTTCACATACTTTTCGTAATATCAGTGCAGCACTGTAAATTTTGACTGATGCAGAAAATCCTTTGCGTCGACCAAATCCACCGCGGAACAGCAGCGATTTAGCCTTCTGGAAGAAGCACTGCCCAGCTGCAAATTTCCATAGAATGTCAGCCATGTTTCATAATCCGAAATCGTCTAGGATTCCTAAACGGGCAGATCCCGAACTGGCGGTCATAAGCAGTCTGAAGCATTCGCTGCTCAGCGGAGAGCTGAGTGACGTGCAGTTAATGGTCGGACGGCAGTTTGGAGAAGCGAAGCTCTTCTCAGCACACAAGTAACTCCAGCCCTGAAGAACAATTAAATGGCGCAGATGAACAGCATGCGTTTGGTCTTGCAGATATGTTCTGTCTTTGCGTAGTCCCGTGTTTCGTGCCATGTTCTATGGGAGTTTGCCGGAGAGCGCAGTAAAGATTGTTGATATTCCCGATGATGTGCCCGATGTCTTCTCCAATATGCTCAAGTCAGGCGTTTGTTTCTATGGCAACCGCCCACCGGGCGCCGCTGTGTATTATATATTGTCCATTATAGTTACTTATATACGGACTCGGTAGCGGATTTGACTGTGGACAACGTCTGTGCGACGTGGATGTGCGCGGATAAATACGATATACCGCTCTTGGTGGACATCTGTTGCGACTACGTCACGGACCAGCTCAGCGTCGATAATTGCCTCACAATTTTGGAGAATGTTCGTCAACGCAGCTTGTTAATAATTAGCGAGAGGCTGACCGATAATTTTGGCTGGTTTTGCAGGGAATTCAGCGGCATGCTGAGGAGATCGTCCAGCGTTGCCTTAACTTTATTGACGGATTCGCGGATCGCATCATGCGCTATGATCCTTTCCTGGCCATTGGCCATCAGGCGCTGGTGATGATTCTGGGCAGCGAGACATTGTTTGCCGCCGAGAATAACATCTACTTCGCTGTCGAAAGGTAAAATTTGGAGCTTACACACATGCTTCGGAAGTCAGCTTGTGTGCATCCTTATGTGCCTTATATGATGGATCCGCAAAAATTCGTGACGCTTAGATGAAGATTGTTCCCGCCACCTTGCCTGCGCAGTAAATAAATTAACAACGGTTGCTGCATTCCAACGCATAGTTGAATATTTCCCAGGTGGGCGCAAGCGGCCTGCAAGGCTAACGACATGGATCCATCTGGCGGCAGTCGGCGGCAGATGCTGGGTGAAGCACTGTTTCTCGTACGGTTTCCTCTTCTCAGTAACGCACAACTGGCGGATGGACCGGCCAAAGTAAGTTATGCCACCCGGAAGTATGTTCTTTCTGGCTTATTGACTGCTATATTTATCAATTATCATGCACCTCTCTACGTCCTGCGAAACTCGCGGTTTAGGATTAAATTTTAACAGCAACTAAAATGCTAGCTGTTAAAATTGCTGTTTTTTCAAAGTGTCCACACAGCTGCAGCATTTCTTTTCGTGATGCCTAAGGTTACCCTATGATTTGAGCAAGCCCCGAATCTTCTTTTGCCAGCACTCCTCATTCTTAAAATCGGAAAGAAGCGCTATGAATCTGATATTGCTTCACTTTCGACTTTATGCCCATGTGTCTTTTACAGCAAAGTTTCAAGAAGATCGGGTAATAACCAGGCTTTTGGTACAGAGCAATGCATTTAAACTTTTCGCCCATTTTAGTTCGCCATATCTCGGCAATCGGACGTTGCGCGCGCAAACGGTTTTCAGAACAATATGTACAAATCGTTTAACTTTAGAATGACACAAAGTATTACAAAAAGTGATCGGAGTGCGCAAAAGCGAAAGTTTTAGAGTATGTATCCCATTTCTGACACCATTTACCGGGCCATTTCCGTTAAAATCAGTGATACATGTACACCTATATATCTGTCTGAATCATAGCTTTCATCCAGATTTATTGTATGTCGCTGATTCGTAACCGGATAAAGCCTACAAAAACCCAAGGAATATTGACTCGTGGAACAATAAGTAGCTTGGAGTTTATACTCGTACATAATTCTTTGTAGAGCGGTTTGTTACTACCATCCGAACTACACGACCTATACCAGTACCAGTCCACCATGGAGAAATTGCCGTCGCTGCCCTTCTCCACGGAGCCGCGCCGCGCGCCCTCCTTCCGCATCGGCCACACCGTGCTGCAGTATAAAGAAAAGGTCTTTGTGCAACGTAGCGAATACCCCGACATCTGGTGTGCTGGGGAAATTGTGGGTGTCACATGGAGGGCGTTTCGCTGCAAGTGGTATGAGGATGGCGTCCACGGCGTAGTATCCGGGGAAGAGAGTGTTGCCAGCGACAAGATCCTGCGTGCTGCCGAATTCATGCAGCGCGGTCAGGAGATGTATGCCCACGAAAAGTGTAAATATACGCCTGTGTTTTACTCGCGGCCGGCGGCGCAAGCGGATTATCACGTTGTCCGCTACCGGGGCAGCTTGTGGTCCTTCCATTTTCACAATCTAGCGGTGGCGGATTATATTGTTAGAAAGTTTCGGGCTACGGGTTCCGTCTGTCGTAGCGAGTGTTATTAAATTATGGTAGTACGTACTTAGTTTATTGGTCTGGTACCACATGATTTGGTACATCGGACCAAATTAATTTGCTTTTTCTTTTCAAACTGGCCACGCCTTATTTCTACTTCGTTTCTAATGCCATAATTATGTGCCATAATGTTGCCAATTTGCTAAAGAAAGTCTTCCTGTCTTGACCAACGAACACGATATTAGTTATACCATAACGGTGAAAACTGTTAGGAATAAAAAATTTTTCCGTTGTCTTATGTACGTATCTCATGAGAAAAGAATCGTGGGAAATGCACTTCCGATCGCAATTAACCGCCGTCTGGGGTAGGGAACTGGCACTTCCGGTCCAGCCTACCGAACCGGACCTGGTCCACTGACTCCACTCAGCTGGGTCGATTTCAGCAGGGAGGGTAGGGAGTTCACTGGTATGCTGATGAGATTGTCAAGCGTTGTCTGCAGTTTATCGACCGATCTGCTGAAGGCGTGCTGCAGTCCCAACATTTCGCCATTGGGCAGAAAACGCTGGTGATGATTCTGCAGAGCGAGACGATGCCTGCAACGATGACAACATCGATCTATCCGGCGCCAATCGCCGACAAATACTGGGTGAAGCGCTATTTATCGTACGGTTTCCGCTGCTGACCAGCACGCAGCTGGCTGATGGCCGGCCAAGGTAATGCTCGGATGCGGAAATGCCATTAACTTTTCCCCATAGTAATTACCATAAATATTGAGGAGAGTAAATTTGACATTGTGATAGACGTACAGAGTAGTGTGTTGTAGTAGCAACCGTTCCCAGCGCATTCTTCGTGCCTGCTATATACCTTTACGGAATTACGAGTATTGTGCATGCCTATCACTGTATTTGTAGACTCGCTTGCTGCTGCAAACGGAAGTGCTTGATCTGTATCAGTTCAAATTCATCTGTGTCAGTTCAAGACGCAAAGCGGCGTTTCCACGCTGAATTTCCAGCGATAATCGTTGGCGCAGGAATTCATGAAAACCAGGTTCACCTGTATGCAGCTGACATCGTTTACCGATTTCTTTTACTAGAGCGATGGCCGCCTTTCCCGATGGTCCGAGAGTTTCGAAGGCTAATGATGCGAAGATGTGTCTTCCCACCCGATACAAGTTTGCAATTGCACTTTTTCATCTTCAGCCTGCGCTTCGGCGAATCCAGCTGTAGCTGATATGGATTTCAAGTGAGACAACACATGTGACGTCCCATGCCAAGTGTGACGCATGGCAACATGTGCCAGTGCCGTGTTGTATTGATTCCTTGTTACATTGGTTAGTTTATGTATTTAGTTGAGTAATTATTAAAGAACACGACGCTCCACGTCGTGACACCAAGCATACACCGCGTTTCCAGGCGAAGGTCGTGCACCCATCAGGGCGGCGATCCGACGTGTGGGATGTTCCCCGCGACTCCAGTTTAGCAGGGGTTCCGGCTGACACCAGTGCCCTACAGACGATATGGTTCAAGCCGCCGTGACGCGAGTGTCTTCCAGCAGAACAGGAACAGGATAAGCCGTGGTGGCCGTATATAGGAGTATCGACGGGCTTGTGACACTTAGCACATGAATGCGGCTCACAGATGGATACACCTAGTTTCAGGCGACTGAAATTTTTACTGTGTCATCGTCAAGGAGATTACCGATGTGTGCCGAGAGCAGGGCATTCAACCATATGTCGGCTTCCGGTGTCGACTGAGCCAGGAGGCGGGATTTTTCAATCAGTCATGCGAAATGTGCAATCCAATCACCACTGCCGCCTGGTGGGCGGCTATGAGCCTCCGGTCAAGTCGGTGGTCAAATAGCTTGTCTCAAAGTCAGCCCCCATCGGGTAGCATGTTGTCCTAACTCATTGGCACTTCCGTTTTGGGCATCCACAACTTTTACTAAAGTTTGGAAATTGTTTATGTTTTAGCTTTTTAGGTAGCCAGCGGATTTGTACGATACTTATACTGTACTTGTTTCTTCTTCTCTCTTAGTGTCTTATGCTCATTTATTTGCACATTCCTTGGAGAGAATCTTCTTTATACTTTCGTAATATCAGTGCCGCGCTGTAAATTTTCACAGATGCAGAAGATCTTTTGGTCCCCACACACACCACGCAACAGCAACGTTTCATCCTTTTGGAAGAATAACTTCCCAGATGCAAATATCCGTATAATATCGGCCATATCCGACAATCCGACATCGCCCACGGGTCCTTAACTGCCAGACCCAGAAATGGCGCTGATTAACAGCCTGAAGCATTCGCTGTTCAGCGGAGAGCTGAGTGACGTGCAGTTCATGGTCGGACGGCAGTTTGGAGAAGCGAAGCCTTTCTCAGCACACAAGTAAAACCTGCCCCGAAGAACAGATGAAGCAGATGAAGAGCACGCGATTATTTTGCAGATATGTTCTGTCTTTGCGTAGTCCCGTGTTTCGTGCCATGCTCTATGGAACATTGGCCGAGAGTGCAGAAAAGACGATCGATATTCCTGATGATGTTCCTGATGCCTTCTCCAGTATGCTAAAGTCAGGCGCTTTTTTCCTATGGTAACCGCCCACCGGGCGTCGCTGTTAATTTTATGGTGTCCGTTGCAGTTACCTGTATACGGACTCAATAGAGGATTTGACTGTGGACAACGTCTGTGCGACGTGGATGTGCGCGGATAAATACGATCTGCCGCTCTTGGTGGACATCTGTTGCGACTACGTCACCGACCAGCTCAGCGTCGATAATTGCCTCACAATTTTGGAGGATGTTCGTCAAGCGGAGACTCGTTTATTTGCTAGCGGTTGGCTGATGACGTTGGCTGGTTTTTATAGGGAATTCAGCGGCATGCAGAAGGGATTATCAAGCGTTGCCTGCATTTTATTGACGGATTCGCGGAACGCGTACTGCGGTCCGAACATTTTTCGACTATCGGGCACAAGGCGCTGGTGATGATTTTGGGCAGTGACACACTGTTTGCCGTCGAGCAAAACATCTACTTGGCTGTTGAAAAGTATGATTTAGAGCTGGTGACGTATACTCCATTTGTACTTCTTTTATTTGTTAAGTTTCTTTGTGAGGTATCCTTATTTGATGGCCCTCGCCCAATTCCTGGCATTTCGCTCGAAATTATTTCAGCCTTCATAATTTGTAGATCCTGCGCTCTAAATAAATTACTTAATGATGGTTGCAGTGTCGGAACGCAGTCATGTGAGTTTTTTGGCAGGTGGGCGCAGGAGGCTTGCAAGGCTAAAAGCATGGATTCATCCGGCGCCAGTCGACGACAGATGCTGGGTGAAGCGTTATTTCTCGTGCGGTTCCCTCTTCTCAGTAATGCGCAACTGGCGGATGGGCCGGCCAAGGTACGCGTAATGCCCACCGGAAGTGACACGTCGTTTTGGGCTTACTGACTGTATAATAGTCTGTAAAGAATTCATTGTGCAGCTGCATACGTACTGCTATGTATAACACGGCTAAAATTGCCGTTTGAAGACTAAGAAAAAACAACCAACACGTTAGCTGCTAAAAAGCTTGTAGTTTCTTGTCGAGTACCCATACTTCTACGGCCTAGGATTTTTTTCAGAATAGCTGAACGTTGACTTACCTCTTGTTTGAGAAGAGCCTTGCATCTCCTTTTACGAGTGCCATTGGTTTTTATTTCTTCGTTCTCAATACAAACAATACTCGTATTGGAAGTAACACTTTTCTATCCGCTCTTTGAGAAAGTTCGACGTTTTTCGCAATCCGGATATTTTCACAATATGGATTAGCGTGCCGGACACCAGAGACGCGGTAATCTCCGCGCTGTTTCATATAACGAAACTTATCTGTGTGATAATTAATTTTTTGTGATAAACTTATCTGCGTGATAATTAATTTTTTTTAAAAATTAATTATCCCGCAAATAATTTTTGAAAAGTACTCGTACTGTACGTGTGTGCTTGTAAGGTTTTGCACGATATTAATAAAAACTTTTCAATTTTCTTAATGTGGAGCAACGCACAACCCTGAATCTGGTCTCCGGTACGCGTATCGATATTGTGCAAATGTCCAGAGTGTGAGAAATTGCGAAATATACTTCCTTCAACAATTCAACCTTCTAGAATTTTTTTGTATACAAAACCGAACGAATATTATAATGACTAACCAGGGCCCTGTCACCTGATGAACATTTAAAAAATTCTGAACTTCTGCAGTTGGACAGGGAACAGCATAACAGAAGAAAAAAATGAGTTTCATCTGCCATGGTGAATGGACGTGGTCAAAACAGAATTTATCAATGAATTCCTCACTATGCTAGTGTGCTGTAGTCTGTGGGCTATGTACCGTACCGTACATTACTATTACGTTACCGTACATAATTACGTTACCGAACAATTTGTATACGGGGAGTTTAATTTGAACGCCCGTTCAGAACTTTAATTCGTGGACTTACAAATCTTTATTAAGAAGTTTATTTAAAACTTCTATCTGTGGACGTCAAAACGATGCCCCACAATATCCGCATATAGCGCTATACGGCTATGGATGCAACATTTTTCGTTTATGAAATGCAGTGTAATCATTGTTCACTGTTTCTGGAGATGGTACAGTTTACACTCCTCTTCAGTTGAGATGGATTTGCACTGCTCCTTACAGATACGTTGATGATTTGTTACGATTACTGAAAGTGGCCTCGCACAGGTTGTTCAGTCGTTACAACGTATGCTGCGGTGCATTGCCCATAGACTACAAGTGCGCAGAGTAGAATTTACTGGTAAACTGCGTTTTGGCCACGCCCATTAACCATGGCAGATGAAAATAATTTTGTTCGTTTATTCTAATGTTCCTCTATCTTTCGGTAAAATATCAAAATTTTTTGAATTTACATCCGGTGACGGGGCCCTGGTAAGAAAGTAGTCAATTGCTGGGAATTTATGCTACATACATCATTCTCTGTAGAGTGGTCTATTGCTGCCATCCGAACTGCACGATCTGTATCAGTACCAGTCCACCCAGGTGAAATCGCCCTCGCTGCCCTTCTCCACGGAACAGCGCCGCGCGCCCTCCTTCCGCATCGGCAACACCGTGCTGCAGTATAAAGAAAAAGTCTTTGTCCAGCGTAGCGACTGCCCCGATATCTGGTGTGCTGGAGAAGTGGTGGGAGCCACACGCAGGGCGTTCCGCTGCAAGTGGTATGACACGTATGCCCGGTATGGCCCCTTCGGCGGCGGATCAGGGGAAGACAGCTTTGTCAGCGAAAAGATCCTGCGAGCTGCTGAATTCATGATACGCGGCCAAGAGATGCTGGTCCGCAAAGAATATACGTATACTCCAGTTTTATATTCACGGCCGACGGCACAGGCCGATTATCACGTTGTCCAGTACTGGGGAAGCCTGTGGTCTTTCCATTTTCACGATCTAGCGGTGGCGGATGACATAGTTACAATGTTTAGGGCTACGGGTTCAGTTTGTCGTAGCAAGTGTTATAAATAATTGCACCAGATGATTTAACAGTGAATCGGACCAATTTTTACCGCTTAATTTTTGTGATGTACGATTATTGTACTTACATGACATGTACGTGCGCAATACTGTCTCGGTATCTCGTGTTCTTCGTTTCGGTTTTTCCTAGCAACTTCCGGTTCGTGTTTCTCCGCCTAGATACGATTCCTGCGTTTTATTTGCTATCCTAACGAACGGCGACACCGATACAGGAGACACAAAATTTTAATATCGATTCTACCGTTCATTACCTTTACAATGTAGGACTAAATGGACGCATAGCCCCATACCCAGCATTCTGTACGCAAGCGGTGCAGTGCACTTGTACGAAACGGATATTTTGAACTCAGTCGTACAGTGCACTGCGCTGCATTCGTACTGAATGTGGAGATAATGGGTATGCGACCATTTCGTACTAAGTTGTATACGTACTATCTTAGCAGATACCGGTATATAATACATTACAATTTTTAAAATTGCCCATGGTATTATTTTCTGCTTTATTTCTACTGTCCTACTGAGGTGAATAATGTTGTCTGTTTGTTGAGGCGGCTTGCTTGTTGTGGCAACGTACCATGAACTTTTACCATCATCCGGAAAACTGTTTGGAAGAAGAATGTTTTCTACTGCCGTCAGTTTACGATGGAAGAATCGTGGAAATTCACTTCCGGCTACACTTAACCGCCGCCCTGGGTGGGGGGCCGGTACTACTAGTCAAGTCTGCTCTGCTGTCACCTAACCGGACATGGTCCACTTACAATCAGCTGTGTCGATTTCGGCCCCTCACGGGCAGCCTCTTCGTTATACCCTGTGGCTATCTTCACGTGGCAGCGCAAAATCCAAGAAACTAGGGAATACGTAACTCAGATCACAGAACAGCATCTAAAAACTTCGTAGCGAAGGTGTTGAAGGTTGGCGTTAGGAGCCATTTCATAATTATTCATCTTGCTGTACCTCCAAGCATGTCTCATAACCCGATATCGTTGAGAGGTTTTGAGTGGCCTACGGGGCTAATCAACAGCCTGAAGAAGTCGCTGGTTAGCGGAGAATTTAGTGACGTTCAGTTCATGGTCGGACGGCAATTTGGAGATAGGAAAATCTTCTCGGCACACAAGTAAACCCAGCCAAACCTGATGCGGTGTATTAGAGGAAATGTGTGGCATCTTGCAGGTATGTGCTGTGCCTGCGCAGCTCCGTCTTTCGCGCCATGTTCTATGGAGATTTAGCAGAGAACTGTGAGAAACCGATCGATATTTCGGATGTTCCCGTGGAAGCTTTCGCCAATATGCTAAGGTTTGAACGATTGCGGCGGACGCGGTTGTTTGGAGCATTTCATATATAGTAGCACTTCCCATTATAGTTTTCTGTACACTGACGCTATGGGTAAGCTGAGCGTGGAAAACGTCATTGCGACGTGGATGTGCGCGGACAAATACGATCTGCCTGAGCTGGTGGGCATCTGCTGTGACTTCGTCAGTGCCAAACTGAGCATCGACAACTGCCTGACTATCCTGGAGAATGTTCGTAGCAGTTAATTCTTATTAGCGTTCGCGTGGCCTGTAAAATTGGCAATTTGCAGGGAGTTCACTGGCATGCTGATGAGATTGTCAAACGCTGTCTGGAGTTTATCGACCGATCCGCTGAAGGCGTGCTGCAGTCCGAACATTTTGTTGCCATTGGGCAGAAAACGCTGGTGATGGTTCTGCAGAGCGAGACGCTGTTCGCCGCTGAGCATAACATCTATCTCGCTGTTGAGAGGTGCGGTTTCTGGCGTACGATACCATGTTTTAAGTGTAGGGGTGCTTCCACAAATTTATAAGCTTATTATTTGCTGAATAACCACCGAAAATCAGGTAAACAATTTTTCTGCTAAGTTAGTACTCACATCACAAACGCATATCTCTCAATACGGACTATCTTCCCAGTTTCCCCTCTTCTGCGGAAATGTCTGTCAAATCTGTTTACTACGTAAATGTCTGTCAAATCTGTTTTTTTTAAATTTTACAACGGTGCCACCATGTAATTGTAGTGACTACGCGCCATATTGGCGCGTAGCAGTCTGCGTGGTTTGTTGACCTGCAGAGAACGAATTCTAGGTATTAAGATTTATGCGGTACTCTATGTGGTACTCTGTCAGACTGTCACTAGTATCATTATTAACACTATGGGCACAATAAAGATCTGTGCCAAGACTTGACATCCCAAGAAATCCCGCACGCACAGAGCAATCACCTGTTCATTGAAGTGGGCTATCTGCTGGGGTGGTGCTCTAATTGCGACTGTTTTTAGCAAAATTATGAGTTTTTTCTTACAGGTGGGCGATGAATGCCTGCAGCGATGACAACATCGATCCATCCGGCGCCATCGCCGCCAAATACTGGGTGAAGCGCTATTTCTCATACGGTTTCCGCTGCTCACCAGCACACAGCTGGCAGATGGGCCGGTCAAGGTGAATTTTGCCGATGCGGAAATGTCATTAACTTTTACCTTTAATAGTTGCCCCATAAATATTGACAGGAGTAATTCGGAATTTGCCAACCATTCACAGCGCGGTCTTCGCGCTAAATACGTACCTGCTATCTGTACCTTTATGTTAGAGTTACATACACGTGCAGACGTATCATTATATCTGTAGACTGGTTTACTGCTGCAATCGGAAGTGCACGATCTGTACCAGTACAAATTCGCCACGGTGAAGCCGCTGCTGCCGTTCTCCACGGAACCCCGCCGGACGATTACGTTTGGTGTCGGCAACACCACGCTGGAGAATAAACAGAAAGTGTTCGTGCAACTGGACCCGTATGCGAAAATCTGGCATCCAGCGGAAATTGTGGGAGCCGGAGAAAATAAGTTTAAGTGCGCGTATCAGACCGCGTGCGGCATAACCGGCACAGTGAGCGCGGCTAGCAAAGAAATTATCCCGGCTTCACTGTTGCTGGAGCCCGGCCAGGAATTGACAGCATATATAAATGAGACCCCTAGCAGTGCTACTTACTGTCGTGTGGACGGTGCTCAGCACGTAGTCAGGCATAATCAGCAAGAATACACTGTCCGCTTCGCCGATCTAACGGCTAAGGAACCGCACGTCGTGAAGTTCAGAGCACCAGCCTAGATTTAAGACTCCCGGACAAATGAAACTGGTTCATATAAATGTATTTTTCTTGGGTTATTCACATCAACATAGGTTGATAGCAAAATTACGCAGTTCATTCATATAAATTTTAATCAAATTAAAAGATAAGCAGAAGGAAAATGTGCCGCCCCATGTGTATGTATCCCTGTTGTCGTGAACCCTCCTCAAGCGTTCCATGTTCAATGGATGTTTGTGGATTTAGAGCCGCTTCTAATTCGCTCTGGACTGTTTTTTTCTGACCTTTACTGATGTATGTTATTATGTCTGACAGTATGGTACTCAATGTGGTTCGGAAGCTAAACTATTAAATACTGTGCCTTTGTTTTTAAAGTAGTAATTAGCGCTTCATGGAAGTCAGTACATTTAGCAAAAGGCAATCTCTTGCACTGACGTCGAAATGAAAAAAAATGCATTCCATTTTATATACGAGGGAGCCATCCCCAAAACACTCAGAGCATTACCGCGTTGAATCTCAAGACTAAAACGTTGGAAAAGAAAACAGGTGGAGCGGCTTTCTCACGTTCTATTATACAGCTTTTTGCCGATTACCTTCTGGCTTCTGTAGATGAACCGGCACGTTACACCAAGCAGTAAAAGTAGCAAGGGGAACAAAATAAAAGAAATCCACATGTTAGCGCTCCGAGAAAGACAGCACATCGACTTTCGATATGCGTGTTGTGGTGCAATGGCTCTACCTTCAGGGATAATACGACGTGACCGGCGTTTGGTTCCCCGCGTGGTGCAGATTTTTATTTTGGCATTCGGTAATATCGGATTCTGCTGGTTAGCATCAACATTCAACCGTACCTTATTATGCCAGATCTACCGTTCTCAGCGGAAGGCTGTGTTAAACGATAATAGACTCGTACTTCTGTTCTTTCTCTAAACCCTTGTTCGGTAGTCACGCCGGCATTCTTCGAAGTCGTTAGGGAGTACTAGTCAGACAGTACCTCGGCATGTGCCATCCCACACCAGCGGCAGTTCACGAAATCCTTTCCATCGTGCAGCTCCATCCGCATCCGGTCTTGCGGCCGGCGCGGTCGCCAGAAAACCTGCTTCTCTGGAATCCGATGGAGCGGAAACGAGTCGACAGTACCGTGGTAAATGTGCTTGCGTTCGCACTTCACCGCCGCCTTGTGGGGAGTCGGAGAGCTTCCGGTCGAGATCAATAACTGCCAACTTGGCCGAGTCCACTTGCAGTTGCCGCTGGTCAACTCCAACCGCACTCGGGCAGCACTGTCGTTGTGCCTAACAATGTGAGGCACGATTCACGAAGCGAGAGCCCTTTGCAAATTCGCAAAGGATACGCGGTCCCCGAACAGATGTCAGTGCTCCTTCAGGTATCGTTAGGTTGGACCTTTTTTTAACTAAACTAAACTTAATTTTAATGACCTTACGTTCTTTGATTGCCATCTGCAGAGCTGTATTTTTTACCATGACTGGAATCCATGGTATGCGTTAGTATCTTGGAGCACGAGCTGCGCAGCAGCGTGTTGGAACTTGGAAGTTGGAACTCTGGAACTTACCCATTCAACGTTTCACTACTAGTATCCTAGAATGTCCCACAATCCGGCATGTCCTGAGAAACCAGACGCTGAGCCCGAGCTTATCAGCAGCATGAAGCGATCATTGGTCAGCGGAGAGTTTACTGACGTCAAGTTCATGGTGGGACGGCAGTATGGAGAAACAAAAATCTTCTCGGCACACAAGTAAAGTAGTAAACCCGTTCCAGCACAAAGCTGATGCATCCGCCGCACGGCCCGCGCTCTGAGGGCCTCTACTCCGTTTTGCAGGTATGTGATGTGTCTGCGCAACGCCGCATTTCGTGCCATGTTCCATGGAGATCTAGCTGAAAACGGTGAGACGCCCGTCGATATCCCTGATGTTACGGTGGATGCTTTTGCCAATATGCTGAGGTAGGCGAGGCGGGACGTTCGTCTGACGGTTGCAAGTATAAATGTGGCTGTAGCTATCTGAAATGGTATGAAACGGTGGAAGATGGCACTACATTACCCAGGCGTAACAAACAGCTACTAGTACTAGTGGCAACCTTACTGATGAAAAGCCCAAATGACTACTCGAGTAGGGCGCCTTTTTGCAGCATTGGAGTGGTGCGTACTTTTAAGACTTTAAGTTTGCTGCTTAACGTCTGCAGATATGTACAAGGAATCACTCCTTATCGAGATTTGCTGACACGCTCATTAAAACCTTCAGTGGAATAATAGTCCCTCCACAATACTGCAAGCACAGGGTAGTAAGCATTTACTAGCCAGAAAAACAACATATCTGGGCAAATACTGCTAAACAAAATAATACATATATAAAAGTAATATATATGTATTTGGTCAGTAGCGCGTATGTTCAGCACTGCATCGTATGCTTGTACAGTTGTAGCGTGTTGTAGACTCTGTCGAATCGCTTTTTCTATTAACAGCCTGCTATCTTCGTTTTTATGTCTGCTATCTTCGTTGCAGTTTCCTTTACACTGACGCCGTGGATGAGCTGAGCGTGGACAACGTCATCCCGACGTGGATGTGCGCGGACAAGTACGGTGTGTCACAGCTGGAAGAGAAATGCTACAAATTTGTCAGTGAACATCTCAGCATCGACAACTGTCTAAACATCTTGGAGAACGTTCGTCAACACAACTACTGTGCATTATGTAGACGGCTTGCAGCGTTGGTTGTTTACAGGGAATTGAGTGGCATGCGGAGGAGATTATCAAGCGCTGCCGGCAGTTCATTGACCGATCCGCTGAAGACGTCCTTAAGTCCGCCGATTTCCTGGCGATTGGGCAGAAGACGCTCGTGATGATCTTGCAGAGCGACACGCTTGTTGCCGACGAGAATAACATCTATTTGGCTGTTGAAAGGTAGCGTTAGACATAGAAACGTAATATTCCGAAAGATTCTGAGCGGTTATGAGTTGTGACAAAGGTGGGCGCTGGAAGCATGCAGTGCTATCAATGTGGATCCATCGGGCTCCAGTCGACGTCAGATGCTCGGTGAAGCGCTGTTTCTCGTGCGATTTCCTCTGTTGAGCTGCGCTCAGCTAGCGGATGGGCCGGCCAAGGTAAGCGGAGAGTATTAAACTTGCAGTTAGTCGTCATCCACTGTATTTGCGCTGGATGAGTTCCAGTAGCACTGGCAAATAGAGGTGGATATATCGAAGGTCAAGAAAATTTGGTTTATTTATTTTAGTTAGTAGGTTTAGCTTAATTTATTTCTGAGAAAACGAATCCTGAGACAGTCATTAGTCTGGCCACCATAATGCGATGCGAGGTCACGAAATGAGCAATGTGTAATAACGGTTATCAGCATCCAGAAACAAAAAATCGCTTTGCGGTCAACTGGCCCAATTTAATCAGAACATACCGTACGAACGAAAGGAGAACCAAACACTAAAATTAGGTTTAGAAATAGCTTCGCCATTTGCCGATCCGTGCGTGCAGACTGTAGTCATGTTACTGTATTCAGTCGATTGGTAGGTTGGTCAGAAGAGTTAGGTTGCGCAGATGGCAACCGGAATTTCATCCCTCAGCGCTTTGTGATTCCTTGCAGAGCGGTATACTGCTCCCGTCCGAAGTGCACGAGCTGTATCAGCACAAGTTTGCCACGATGAAACCGGAAACGATGCCCTTCGCCACGGAAACGCGCCGCATGCCCTCCTTCTGCATCGGCAACACCGTCCTGCAGTATAAAGAAAAAGTGTTTATACGGCAGAAGTTGCAGAATAGCGATTTGACAGCTTGGTTTCCGGGGGAAATTGTGGGCGTGGCGCACGGTGGATTTAACTATGTGTGGCTGGAACGCTGTTACGTATCCGTCAAAGGTCATGCTGCCAGTGAACACATACTGCCGGCTTCCAAAGTTTTGCAGCCTGGTCAAGAGATGCTGGTCTTTATGGAAAACCGTTTACAACGTGCTACGTTTTGTCAAGTAGACGGCGATCAGTATGTAGTTGAGCAAAATGATCAAGAGTACACCGTCCGTTTCATCGACCTGATAGTTCGTGACCAGCAGATGATTGCGTTTAGAGCAGCTAACGAGGTTTAAGATTCCCGGACGAATAACGAATGTAAGTCTATGGACAGCGGAACGGAACACACGCGGTTGGAAGGCGGCGATCGGGATTGCTTTTCTAATTGCCCTCGTTCGGTTTTATGCATGTCACAGTCATGCTGCAAACAATGTTGTTCTGAATTCCAGATATCCAGTATTGTATGCCCGTGTTTGCAACTGTTGAGTTTTGGAAAATGTGTAAAATTACATGGTTTCTTGTTTTTACCATTTTACAAGAAACAGCCTCGGCTTCGCCTCCGCGTTTCTTGTGGTCTCCAGTCTACGGCCGGTTTATTCAAATGATTTCGATCAGCTACTTAGTTAACACCTTATTCCTTCAACGAAACAAAATTGTTCGAAAATAGCGCTGAAACGCAGATAAGATAAAACGTGAATTTATGGCTTTTGTGCACTCAGGTACAGTCACTTTGACTCAGCAGGAAGTTTTTTTTAACTTTCCGTCACGACTCTGAAACTACCAGGTACTAAATTTTCACCTAGAGAATGCTTGCAGTAGATGCTGGTGGCAGTTCCGTCACTTATTCACCTAGCGGGCTGTGTGATCAGGACACAGCGGTAGTTCGGTCACTCGTCCTAGCGGGCTTTGTGCTCTAAGCAGTAGTGGTACTTCGGTCACTCGTTCACCTAGTGGGCTCAGTGAATGTAATACCGCGCCGGTCCTTTGAATATGGGCATTCAGATTGTGGAAATGTTTTGCTGCGGATTCTGTACGGGAATGTTGGGTTCGTGTATCCCTTTTCATTTTTTGTGGTAATAAAAATCTAGAACATAGATACCGTATTATTATTCCGTATTATACGGAATAATTTACGGACTGGTATATGCAGATTAATTATTACTCACTGTCCTTAGTTTTGCTCGGACTGTAACGAATGGTCAGCCAGTTTGAACGATTTCTTTTGGTCGCGGTCACAGCTAAATGGCTTTTAACGAGCGGTCTTATCCTTAAGTCATGTTTTTGAGGGCTTTAAACTGTTAACGGTTTATTGCAACGAAGCCATCCACTAGCAGCATCGTCTGTGTTGCTGCTAATTGGCTTTTTTAATTTTGTAGGAGTAACAGTAAAACCTTTTTAATTTGTTGATCTGAAAAAGTACGGCCAGTTAAAATTTACTGATTTTGTGCACTATGCAACCGGACTTTGAAATTGTTTTCAAGGTCACCTTGAGCTTTCAGCTCTACCGGCACCGGCGCTTGTGAACGGGAGCCGGAGCATAATCATAATCCTAATCCAAGATGGTACACCGTACAATAAAATGCATAAATCATGCTCGTGTTTCTACGGTACAGCCTGCACTTTGGCTGACCGAAGGTTAACGGTGCGGAAGTGGCGATTGCTTGGCTTGTAATTCTTATGTCCAACTCTAAAAACTGCCTATACATACTGCGAAACTGGAGCTGCATGCCGGAAAGACGTTACTGATCCGTGATTCGGAGCAAAAAATATTATTACCTTTGAAAATTAGTCAAAGGAACTGTCTTAAATATTCAGATTTCTGTAACTGTTGAGATCTGAAACGTTTATGAATCCAGCGTCTAAACCTTATGAGAAAAGAGTGACCCCGGGTTTCTAGTTACCAGTTAGTAAAATGCGGCAAGCATCGTCCCTACTGTCAAGTGTGGGATGGGTTATACCCAGTAGTACTATGGTTGTGATAGAAAATCGATCAGTATAAATAAGATGATCAGTCGCTTAACGTGTTTCACGAGAGCTCCTGTCATTCTAGCACCTGAGCTTGTACACTTCCGCTCGCGTCAACTGAATAGCCTTTACCGTTATTTGTGTTGTACTGGTGCGTAATTATTGTGAATGCTGATTGGTGTCCTATGTTTGCAAACCTTGGAGCGAGAACAACGTTATTGGAAACCAACGGGAATAAGCAATTTTCATTCATTCAGCGCTTTGTGGTTTCTTCCTGGGCGGCATATTGCTCCAGTCTGAAGTGCGCAAGCTGTATCAGCTCGAGTTTGCCACGGTGAAAACGTAGTCGGTGCCCTTTTCCACCGACTCTCACCGCATGCCCTTGTTCTGCATTGGCAACGCCGTCCTCGAGCATAAAGAAAAAGTATTTGTACAGCAGGTCCGGGGTCAGCCATTGAATTGTGGTATCCAGGGGAAATTTTAGGCGTTACGCGTAGGGGATTTCGCTAAATGTGGAAGAACCCGTTCGGCTCATCCGGTAAAGGTCACGCTGCCAATGAAGAGGCACTGCCGGCATCACAGCTTCTGAAGCCCGGCCGGCTGATGATGTTCTGTAAGAACAACGCCCATAGAGATGCGACTTAATGTTGAGTGAAAGGAGGTCAGCATGTAATGAAACATGATGAGCAAGAGTACACAGTCCGTTCCATCGATCTGATGGCTCATGACTAGCACCCCACGACGTCCAGAGCAACTAGGGGGAACTGAGATGTCCGGACGAAAAACAAATGTAAGTCAACGGAAAACGGATCGAAAAATGTCCCGTCGCTTATTAATTTCGCAGTACTGTTAATGATATTGTTTTCGTTTTCAGATATCAGAATATATTGTGCCTGCGTTTGCAACTATGTACTACATTTGGATGGCCTGCAAAAAAATGCACTCACTGCTCACTTGTCAGTACGTTTCTGTGTACGAATAATTATCTACTTACGCTTCGTTGTGACATTTTACCTGCGATTTGATTGCATCACAGGTTTCTCCAGTTAAATGCGATGGGAAGATGCGGCAGTAATCAAACGTGCTTGAAGAAAATAATAATCAAGAGAAGAAGAAAATAATACTACTCGTACCTCTGATTCTTAAATTCTGTCGGCAAGGGAATTTCCCATGAAATAATAAAACGGGAGCGATTGCGAGACTGTACAGATGTAGTAGGGAGAAATTAACTTCCGGTTGAATCTTACCACCGCCTGATGGAGGTTGGGGGCGTCCGGCCAAATTTCCCCAACTGGACGTGGTCAACAGGGCTGTGTCAGTTGCTGCCGCACTCGGGCAGCATTTTGCCGGATAATATTTACTTCGGACCGCCTCCTCAGAAGCACAAGTCACAGGTGCAATCGAAAATCTGACATCGAAGCGCTGAAAAAATCTCTTCTCTTCCGACTTTCGAAAATTTGATCTCTTTTGATTTTTGAATCGTTAATTTTTGTGACCAACTTTCATTCGACGTTTGGTAGCAGCAGTGATTTATTTTTCGCAGCTGAAGGAAACCCGTTGCATGCCTGAATCTGGATTCGCATTGGTAGAGTTGTAGTTTGTACTTTGTAGTAGTCACATTCATGATTACGCTATACTTATTTGGCTCCTACAAAGTGCAGTTTCATTGAAGGCAGACATGTCCCAAAATTCGCCATCGGTAATACGTCTCCAGGGACCCAACCATGGTGGGGAGATCATCAAAAGCATTAAAGAATCGCTGGTTAGCGGAGAGCTTAGTGACGTGCAGTTCATAGTGGGACGGAATTCTGGAGAAGGGAAAAGATCGTCTCGGCGCACAAGTAGAAACCTATCGATATTCCTGATGTTACGGCGGATGCTTTTGCCAATTTGCTCAGGTTTGATAGTTCGCTCGTGGTCTTTTATTCGCATCTTCGTAAATTCTAGCTCGAAGTGAATGTTCTTGGTAATGATTAATGAAGATTCAATGGCGGTTTACCTGCAGCAGTAGCGGCGGCTCTAGCTGAGCTAGATCCTTCAGAATTTTAACACGGCTCTTTGTATTAAAGCGGGTGTGACTAACAGCTTGCCATGACCGTAGCATGATTATGCACATTTATCAGAAGCTGACCATTCTGTTTGTAAACATGAATTTAATTTTGTTTCGGCTTCCGTTCGTACGGGAGGACGTTCTAATCAGTTAGGCCTCCGCACGGTGTTTCTCGAATAATGGAAGATTCGTGATCATAGCTGCTTCGTGATTTCGTATCCTTTCTCCAACCTGAAGAGCCTGTTGCTCCCTGCATGGAAGCGCTGTATAAGCAACTCCAGTTGAGATGCTTTAAGAATATTGTTTTAATACCAAGTGCCATCCTAAGGGGTTAACAGCGGACGCTCCGTGCACTGTTATTGATTTGTAGTCTTAGAAACGTTTTTGTGGAACATGGTGTAAAGGGACGGCTATATTATCAAAGGAAATTGTGGAAAATTTGGGCAGTAGAGCGGCAGGCAGCCATATCAGGTTTTCGCTTTAACGCTGAACGGCTGAAGTTTGTCAGTTATAATGCGACTACTCAGGTGTTATGGGAACGTTGGAGGGAATGAACGTTTGAGTTTATAGATTCTTTTGATTTTCAGTTTCCTGTACACGGGCGCAGTAGATGAGCTGCGCGTGGAGAACGTCATCCCGACGTGGATGTGCGCCGATAAATACAATGTGCCGCCGCTGATTGAAAAATGCTGGCACTTTGTCGGCGCCAAACTGAGCGTGGACAACTGTCTGACAATGCTGGAGGAGGTTCGTTGCCACGGTCACGCATTACTGTCAAAATGTATCAGCTACCGGATGACTGTGGCTGTTTTTTTACAGGGAATTGAGTGGCATGCTGAGGAGATTGTCACACGCTGCCTGCAGTTTATCCACCGATACGCTGAAGGCGTCCTGCAGTCTGAGTATTTTTCAACTGTTAAGCTGGAGACATTGGTGATGATTGTGCAAAGTCCGACACTCGTTGCTGACGAGCATAACATCTATTTGGCCATTGAAAGGTACATTTTGTGACGGTTAATACTTGTTCTTGGTACAGAATTTTAGTACTTTGTTGGGAATGACAAATATTTTCCAACTAGCGCATGGTTTATTGTCTACCGATTCATCGGATAAGGCACGTTGGCTATGCGACTGAGAGATCTTTAAGCGCATCCGAAACGTTAACTTGTTAACAGATTCTCAGTGCTGATGGTGTTGGTTTTATCGAATTTGCTCTCAGGATGGTGGGTTTGTCTTACTGTTCCGCTGTGGTGCTGCTTCTTTTGTACCGACCAGACGTTAAGTCCCGTTAACCGGGTTGTCTGCTCTTGATATAATAATAATAATAATAATTAGCCTTTTCTATTACTTTCAGTCTTGTAATGGATGGGTGTGATCCCCGATCAGGATAGCATAGAGGAAGTGTTTCTGTTATAATGCCGTTTTGTTTGGTACTTAGTTTGTACTCGCATTATGATACTTACTAAAGTTTTATTATATCACTTCCTATCTCCACACTACTTCCGTGTGGCAGCGCCAGCGTGATTCTGAATTTCACCAAAACTATTTTTAAAATTTTCCGTTCGGTTATCCGTAGACTTTTCGCTTTGAAAAGGCAGGTGCATTGTAGAGATCCCTTAATTACTAGTGTCGTATTCCAGATGGGCGGAGGAGGCCTGCAGAGCCGGTAACTTGGACCCATCCGGCGCCAATCGACGCCAGGTGTTGGGTGAAGCGTTGTTTCGAGTGCGCTTTCCCTTGCTGAGCAACACGCAGCTGGCGGATGGGCCGGTTAAGGTAAATGGATTAATTTGTAGCGGAAGTGGCTGTGCTGTTTCTTGTTCGTATTTTACCATTTTTATGTAGCAACAGCCGGTACACATGTCAGTATGCTTGCGTAGATTTACAGATTTGGTCCATCTGCATCAGCATTGTTTAATTTGTTGTAGAGCGGTTTACTGCTGCACTCCGAAGTGCACGATCTGTATCAGTACAAGTTCGCCACGGTGAAACCGCCGCTGCCCTTCCCCACGGAAGCGCGCGGGTTGGCCTCTTTTCGCATCGGCGACACCGTGCTGGAGTACAGCGAACAAGTGTTCGTGCAGCGACATCGGGATACGAAAACCTGGCAACCAGTGGTGATTGTGGGAGCCGAACAGGGAGAGTTCCGCTACGCCTGGCAGAGCCCGTTGGGCGCATGGGGTGAAGACGTTGCTGCCAGCGAGCAGATTCTGAAAGCGTCGCAGTTCCTTAAGCCCGGGCCAGGAGCTGATGGTGGTGATGAAGGGCGGTTTAAAGACGGGCACGTACTGTCGGGTGGACGGTGAGCAGCACGTCATCAAGTATAATCAACAAGAATGTACTGTCCGCTTCATGGATCTAATGGCTCACGACCAACAGGTCGCAATGTTTAGAGCAAATATCGCTCAGATTTGAAATCGCCCGATGAGCCGAAGACGGAAAACTGAACGAAAACTGAACGTATCTTACCATTAGTGTCTGGAAATTCCAAGTTCGCTTGACTGTTTTCGTATCAAAAATTTTGGATTTCAACCCTCACCAAATTAAATTTCTTATCTTGCGTTTGTCTGTTTCTTTTTCCTTTTTATATATCATGCGGTGATGAAGTATAGTCTGTACTGATACAGTACGTGCTTAAAGAGATGTAGCAGTTTTTCTTTAAACCTTTTTTGTGGTTCCGCTGTTTAATAAAATTAGCGATCATGCAGATGAAGCCAGTTTCCATGGATACTTCAGTATTATGCGCGATGTTTATGGTTTTGCCACTTGTACGACGTTACTATCAAATCTGTGAATTTAGGAAGACTAAAGTAACACGACGAAACTCAGAATAAATAAGATCAACCGGAAACCAGTCGGCACCAGTACAGTCAAAAATCTATGATGGTAGTAAACCATCGTCTGGAGGGGTCGGTGTTTCCGGTCAAGTTGCCCGGCTGCCGGCTGGACCGGGTCCTGATGCCCATTTCAGCTCCACACAGGCAACATTTTGTCCCATGCATTTCTCTTGCAATAATAATGACGAATTTAATGTCTTCGTGCAACGGGGTCATACCCCTTAACAGCAGTGGACAAACAACAAGTTACACACATGGAATGCACGATGGATCAACAACAACAGTAACAAGCTAAGTGAGAACTGAACATGACAGAAGGAAAAAGATACAGCTTAAAAGAACAATAATAATAAAAACAAAAGCTAAAACATGGTAGAGTTCTACATTGCAAATAAAACAGTTCACAAGTGTAAAAACTTTTTGGACCAATTTAGATTTTCCCATTTAATATTTTCTAAAGAGTTGCGAAAAGTTCCGACAGACTTGTATGAGGCAGAGGGGAGGGATAATTCGTTCCATAAAGAAGTGAGTTTTTCACTGAAGGAGCCGGCAACAGGAATAACGGTTATGCCACATGCAGTCGTAGGTGCTGGACAGAGGGGGAGATAATGGCGTTCAAGGCGACGGAGACCGCGGGTGTTTCCTGAAACAGATTCAGACAAGGCGGCAGACACAGTTTGTTTTGAAAGAAATTTGTCGCCTAAAGGAATTAGACCAAATACCAACTTATAAACAAAAATCAAAAGTTTTTTCGCAGTTCTTATTTTGTAACTATCCCAGTTAAGTTCTTTCAAACGGAGACGGTAGTCGGAAGTATCGTTACCAAGACGAATGGATGCAACAAATTTCTCAATGCAATGCTCTTCTTTATCTTTGCACTTTTTATGCAACGGAAAAACAGCCGGCCCACAATAATCCAAAAGGGGAAAAACAAGCGATTTAAATGGCATCATGCGCGCTCCAGAGTCGTGGAAACGAAACAAGGAGTTAATGTACCAAATTCTTTTTTTGCACTTCATAGCAAGATTATCAGCATGAAATTTAAACGATAGCTCACGGTCAATTTCGACGCCCAAATGCTTTACTTTTTCGCAAAACGGAATAAGCTTATCATTAAGAAAAAAGTCAGTTTTGTAACTTAGAGACCGCTTTTTTGAAAAATGCACGTAAACTGATTTATCAGCGTTAAACACAAGGCCTGTAGATGATGCCCGTTTGGACAAACAATTAAGATCACCCTGAAGAAGTTCACAGCTGTCAATAGCAGTTAACGGGCGTAGCAGAACGATATCATCGGCGAAAATCAGGATAATAGTGCCATTAATTAGTATAAAGGGCACTTCGTTTAAAAGACAAATAAACAACAGCGGCCCTAAATTTGACCCTTGTGGCACACCACTTGTTACTTTCAAAATTATCGAAAAATATTCGCCAACAGAAACGCACTGCTTTCGATTCTTCAAATAGTCAAAGATTAAATGGACCACCGTGCTGGAAATATTCAGTTTTATAAGTGAGGTAACAAGACTTTGGTGATCACATTTGTCAAAGGCTTTAGAACAATCAAGAAAAATGGCGGCAACTTCAATTCCGTTATCAATAAAATCAGACACTGTTTTCACAAAATAAAAAATTTCCAGTTCAGTAGACCTGTTGCGACGATAAGCAAACTGATGATCACCTAATGCACAATTTTTTTGTAAATGACCTCGTATTATTTCCGACAGACAACGCTCGAAATTTTTAGAAATCGGATTCAGCATTGAAATTGGACGGTGACTACCAGGAAGAGTTAAGTCACAGCCTTTCTTGGGGATGGGAACAACGTACGCAACTTTCCATGCTTCAGGGTACACACCTTCGTTTAAAGCGGAATCGAAAATCAATTTAAGAGGGCGCACAATCGACTGACATGCAGTTTTCAGTAATTTGTTTGTTATTTCAAATTTTCCACTGGATGTGTTTGTGGAAGTAGAAGCAAGTTGCAAAAAAATTAAACTCTCATCAATTTCAGTAGTTGATAAATTATTGCACACTATGTCCGAAGCAGTGCTATCACAATGTTTTGGACACACTGAATGAGAAGGCAGTACTGCTCATTAAGGGTTTCGGCTTTTTCGATATCACTGTTCGCAAAAGATCCATCGGTTTTCTTGAGCGGAGGAATAGACTGTATGCTGTTTCTAGATTTCATGAAATGCCAGAATTTACCTGGATTATTGCGGTAGCTGCTTGCGACTTCTACAATCCGATGTGCTTCAAATTTATTCAAAGCCGTTTCTGCGATTTTTGACAATTTCAACCACTTTTCTTTTCGAACGGAGCGCACTGACGGGAAAACTGAACAACGATACAGTTTAAAAGATTTATCGCGCGCGCGTAACATTTTTTTATGGCATAAGGATAACGAGTAACGCCAGTTTTTATGCTGATTTCTTTAAATGTAAATGATGAGTTAGCAACATCCAGAAATTTCCTTTCAAAAATATGCGCCCGCTCTTCAGCATTGTCATTTCTGAATTCACTGCTCCAGTCGATGTTACTCAGATTTTCACGAAAAGTGGTCACATTACTGGGATCAATAAACCATTTTTTTATTTTACGTATTTGACTTTGCACTTCTTGACTCTCAAATCAAACTGGAGGCCGATATGATCGTTCAATGTTGAGGGAGGTGCAACAGGAATAATGTTAGAACACAACTGCTGGGTAGAGACAAAGCACAGATCAAGACAGTTGCGTTTCCTAGTGGGGAAAGTAATTAACTGCTGGAAATTGAACAGTTTCAGAGAAGATAAAAGATGTTTACCGGCATTCGATCGTGCGGAACGGAGCTGCCAGTTAATGTCTGGCAAGTTGAAATCGCCGACGAGAACACTTCTACTAAGCATAGCTGGAGAGAATTTGTCATGCAGGTGTTCAATTAGCAGCAGAATGTCAGAGTAAGATTTGTTAGGCGGTGAGTAGTAAACAATGAAGAATTTATTTAGATCAGCAGATTCGACACAAATAGTTTCAAGCTGTGGATGCTCTAAATTAATGCGCCTGTGCGCTTTATAGCGTGAGCGGATAGCGAGAGCAACACCTCCACCAGAGTCATAAACCCGTGCTTTTCTAAAGACATCAAAAGAGCGCTGATCAGCGAAGAGAGAATCAGTATAGTGATCTTTGTCCCACGTTTCAACAAGACCGGTTACGTCGTATTCGGAACAAAACATCCTGACTTGTGCACTTTTATTAAAAACACTGTTGATGTTACAGAAACGCACGCGCAAGTAACCACGATTTTGTTTTCGTGACACACAAATACTCAAAGATTTCGTTTTGGTAATTGACAAATTATCGTTAAAAGTTACCTTTTTTTGGCAGATTTTTATTATAAAAGTACCGCGTATTTCGAATTTCGTTATAAGAGTGACACAATGAGTAATCAAAAGCCCAGTGCTGATTATGCGGCAATTCAATGCCTTTGTCAGTACAATTCACACAAGTACCAACAAAATCGTCAGCCTCAGTACAGTCAGCAGCCGCATGCGGTTTAGCACAGTATGCACAGCGCGGGCGCTCTTGCATTTCGACACTGTGTGCCCGTAGGCACAACAATTTTTACATTGCGGAATGTAAAAATGATCCTCAATGGGGCAGACGAACCAACGAATCAGCAAAGATTTTTTCATTAACAAAAGGTTGTGAGTCACTTTATCAACATCAAAAACTACCGCACACGTAGTTACGATATCTCGAAAGTTTTTCAATTTAGTGACGACCTTAATTGTACAATCAGCGGCAAGTTGATTTTTTACGCGAATTTCGTTCAAAAGGACATCGTCGGATAAATCAGTCGGAACACGGCGCACAATCATTCTATGCAATGGGATTTTTGTTTCAACGACCTCAAGACCGATCTTATTGACATGCTTACTTAAGATTTCCTTACCCCTTTTGGCGCTTTCGGTGTCATTAAATTCCAAAAGGACACTTTTCCCATGGATGGCTTTCATATGGGATACGTTCAGGTCAACGGTGCCGGTTGGAAGCATGTTGTTCAGCGCATTGGAAATTTTGTTCATTTCGGCAATAGTAGTGCGAGAACGGTCGTCGGGGGGAAGGTGATATCGGTTTTAAGATCAGAGCCGGTGGCTTTTCATTAGTGTTGGCGGAATAAGCATGGCTTATTCCGCCCGTACTACCACCGGCTTGATTTGATCTGGCCATGGAAGCAAACGAACGAGGCGGAAGTGCAGCCTTTGCATGACTAAAGGGGGCATTATCCGTAGATGTAGACGAATGTGCTGGCAACGGGATAGATGGACGATTGGATGTGGGTCTGGAACGTGATGGTTCTGGTGCCACGGATGTGGTATTCGGATGATCTGGCACACTGGAGTTTTCAGGACAAATGTGTTGGTATATACTTCGAAGACGATCCGTGATGATAAACAATGGCTCAACTTCGCCGGAGATGAGCCCATACTGTGCGGCGCGAGTTTCCGATGTTTCACATTGCGACAATCGGGAGGCAAATTTATCGATCTGGCTTAGACATTCATCGAATTCAACATTTTCAACTTGTAGGGTGGTAGAAGAGTACTTTCCCCCATTTTTGGGGGAAAACAGGTTTAAAATAAAACAGTCAAGCCATAAGTTAACAAGGCGCTGTTACGTGGCAATAAAGGTCACTGCTACATCATAAAGGATGCACGGAACGTTAATACAGCTGATTTATACGGTGACACACGGCACCATAAGGTCACACGGCGGTAAACATAGAATCACAATTGCACATGACTGCTCATATAAAGAGGGAGATAAAACCTGTGATGTCCGCAGACTCATAGACACCAGGGAATTTTAGATTTCACATGGCTTAGGCTCCGTTCACTAGAAAGTACCGCGTCAGATAAACAGTACGTTAGCAGACTAAACGGCGTTTAAAATGCTTGTACGGATGCACACTTGTAGTGACGTACAGCTGGAAAAATAAATCGAATCGAGAGTGCCGAGAGCGTGACCAACCTTCTCGCGGGGAGGCGGTTAGAGCACACAAAAAAGATCCACAGGCAGCATACGCTGCCTTCTCGCTCAGTCATATGGCTGAGCCGTTGCACAGATCCACGTAAGGCAGATAGTTTTTACGCATCAGCCAACGACGTTGGGTTACGGCGCCTTACGTCGCGAACGGACGTAAATCAACCCGTAACGCCAACTTCTACCCGAAAGTGGAACTGGACGGAACTTGTTTTGTGAAATCTGAAATTCGCTACCGAATGAACGAAGACCGAAGGACGGTCCGTCACAGCAAAATCGTAATCAAGCCTGTCATGTATTCTGTCTGTCTGCTTGGCAGTGCTTGCTACAGCAGAGGCTAGGCCAATACAAAATTTAGCCCGGCCAAATGCATAACATGCACACTGCACAGGCTGTCTGGCGCAGAATAGCCACTTCAGGAAATCCCGGATCAGCGATTGCATAATGTGACCCAAATCGGATGCCATACAGGATTTTCAGAACGCATTGTGAGCCAGGCAAGGCAATCTTTTCAGTCTTCACTAGGTAGAAAACAAGGACCACAGACAGATACGACTTTTTGGACCGTGATTTGTGTTATTTGGACTCATTCGTGAATCGTGAACTGTTTCGGTTTTCTATCGCGGCCTTACAGTCCTTGATGAAATAAATCGAACATATTTTGTTCTGGTATTTTCTTATAGAAGCTATTCCCAGCTGGGCAATTTTTTGTTATACGAGTATTTCTGATTTTCACATGGATACCTTGATTGTGGACGTCAAACAGTGGTCGGGAGTGTCAGAGTTTCAGAAAGAATGTTACCGCGAGGGAACCCTCCATGACTTGGTTATTGTGGCAAACACCAGCAAGACACAAGGGGAGGGTGCTGAAGATGCGCCGAAGACCACGGAGATCTTGTGCCACAAGTAAGCACATGGAAACTCATATACCGCGCACTGCGCGGGCGGAACTTGTCTTCACATGTTTTACATCCAGCGAGTCAACGACGGCTTGTTTCTTAGATTGGTTGTTGCATCCTGCTCGAAGTACTTGAAACCGTCTTGTCTTTCGACGCTTTCACGAACCGTGGAGTTGAACGATCACGTTCCCTATGAGCAGGCTAGAGCGTGGATCGACGCCATGTATTTCGGATTTCTTCGTGCCAGATATGCCGAAATTCCGCTGTTGATTTCTGCTGCAAAGTTCCTAGAGGTGCGTAGGCCGATTTTTGAATTTACGTAGGTGGCGAGAGTAGAGACTCGACGAATATGTGAGTGTACATACGAGTATAATACAGAATACATAGCAATCTCCGTTTTTGATTTATTTCTCGCGAACGATTCGCCGTACCGTAATGTGTTTACACTCATTCGTTAAAGAATTGTATTTACTACTAAAAACAGTGAAGCCTGCTAAAAAAAATTAAGACATGCTCGCTAGCAATGGGTCCAAATGAAATCGTGTGAAAATTTATCGTGTCCCAGGTCGCAAAGCTCATAATCTTGCGCCACTTCTTTCCCCTACGAGCTTTTTGAACTTTTTGAACTGCTTTACCTAACTTTTTCAACTTCTTTATCTGCTTCTTTCAATTTTAAAAACAGTTGTTGGCGTGGTACTTGCGCCAGGTGCGCTACACGGTTTACACATTTTGTTACTTTTCGAAAAAAAATGCACTTTTATTCCCTAAATTTTTTAGACATTTTTGCTGCATGCCTGAGTGCTACAGAAAATGTTGCTATAACTGAAATGTAGAGCTAAGATCTTGCCCTTGCAGAAATTAGTTTAATCCAGATCAGTGCTTCTTGCATTAGTAAGTAATTAATTTTCTCTTAATCAGACGGCCATTTTGCTCAGCCACCCGGTACTGTACATCAACCTCTGCAATATTTCGGCTCGAAGCTAGTACCTCATAGTTCGTACCGCAAAAATGCATTCTCGGCCCCAGTGGCGAATTTAAGGCACAGGGGACCCCCCCCCCGCCGCCCCCCCCCCGAAATTCTTTCAAAAGTGGGTTCTTCAACCAAGTAAAGTGAGTATTGCTTAAAAACGGACCATTTTTGTGTAAAATCCGTATAATTTAGTATTTTTGTTGAATTTAAAACGATCTTTGCAGTAAAACTGTAAAAGCGACTGTTTCTAGCGATTTTTGCAGTAAAACCAACTGTTATTTATTTTTTCTCAGGACTAGAAATAAGTACAAAAATACACCTTCGCAATCCGACAAGCATGCCGATAAAGATACATCATTATTCATTGTTATTGCTAAATTATGTGCAAGTGTGTGAAGTGCCTAGATCTATGTGACACACCGCGAATGTTTGCAATAGTATTCTGCCGGGCAGCCGGCGTTTTGACCTTGGCCGCTTTCGGCCACCCATGTACCTAATCACAGCAGTTGCCGTTTCGTTTGATTTTATTTTTGAAGAACTGGTTTTGGAGAATAGACGTTAATTACATATATTATTAACATGATTAATTATTAAGTATACTGTACATGTTTAGAAACTCTCGCCACTTAATTACCGTTACAATGAATAAAATACGCTGTGCTAACATAGTTTCTGTAAACATATGTGCCTCGTATTTGCTCTTGTACAGCAAAAATTTCTGGTTCTGGTAAGCGGCGTGATTTTCTGAACATTTTCTTGCCATCGAACCTCGATGAACATGGGAAATTAGCTTAAACGACCGTACGAGTTGTTGTATTTAACATTGTTAGGATTATTAATAATGGGCCGACGCTCTACTCTTAGTGTGTGGCTGGGGAAATACCGTCAATGATTTTATTGTATACATTGCACGATAACCTTTTATTTTAGATTGATGATGAAGTTCTTGTTGCGATCGCGGTATCTCTGGGCAATTACCGAGCCCGGGCTTGTTCTGCATTGGAATATCCAGCACTGATCCGTGTTCTGGACTTATTGGACACTTTAGCTACTGAAGACGCGAAAGGACGGTTTGGGCTCGCTTGTAAAACAGCCGCTTACAGTGTCGCTGTGGAATTGGCCAGTATTTTAGCTGTAAGAGGATGGGGTCAATTGCACTTGTGTTTTTTGCTGTCGTTTACGGCGGAATAAGTTGACAGAAAGGACTTATAGAAGGTTTGTTACCTTGAATGTGCTTGACAATTTTAGGCCCATGAGAACCATGTGCTGAGCGAACTGAACAGCGTATCCTGGAAATACATGCTGGAAGTTTTTAATGATGATTTCCCAACGAAAGCGGCACTCCCCGCTGCTTCGGCTGAAGCATTTCCCTACACCGTGAAAGACGAAGGTACCAACTTAGAAATGGGCAGACTAAAAAAACTAAACTAAACTTAGGGGAAAGTTAATATGAAGCGCTATCACAAGATTTGTGAGCGCAGTGTTGTTCAAAGCGAAAAGACGTAGTACTATGGCTCACGTGACTACGAAATCTTGTGACGGCACAACTTGTGTCCTGTTTGTGGTATCAGAAGCCAAAGGTGGTGTGCGGAGTCTTCATCTGATCTTTTTTTATCATTAAAGTTTGATAAACTATGTTTTGGTGTTGGTCAGGTAAACCGAAAAAGATCAGCTGATTTTAGTGTGCCCATCTCTAGGTACCGTGCGAACATTCAGTGTCGGCGATTCTGCTTCGGAAAACGCGGAAATCGTTAGTGTCAGCACCGACGGCGGGTTGGTGGACGATGCGTGGACGTTTTCCTGTTCCCCTGGGACCATTCTATTGAAGTTCGCAAAATGGACACAGGCGCAGGTACGAGCATGCCAGCTGCATACAAAAACTTGCAAATTACGGAAATTTTTTTGTATGATGAGGTCTACTTTTTATCCAGTTATTGTTTATTTTGTAGTTTTATTTCAGCTGTTAGAAGTACTTATGTTCAAATTTAGACTGGATGTAAATTTTGCAGAGCCTGGATAATGGAAAAGTCATGGAATGCTTGCAATTCGCACTGCAAAATCTCGCGGTTTCTTGGGAAGAAAAACTTGCGGCTTTTGGTAAATATGAACGACACTAGCATATCCAGCGCAAATTGCGCGGAATAAATAATGCGATAATAGTATAAACGCAGGTCCACAGTTGTTAACAGTATCTATTGGAACATTTGCCCATCTCTTTGAGTGTGACTGCAGCGACGACCTTAAGCATGAAATGCAAACTTTTTCTCCCGAAAGGGAATAAATTTCTCTTTGGTTTAGGGAATAAATTTCTCTTTGGTTTCCTAATTTCTCTTTGGTTTCTCTTTGGTTTCTGTTTCTACATCAGTCACCAATCAGATAAATTTCATGCACTGCACAGGTTCCGAAATTGATAGTTATCCAAATTTGTTCTCCCTTCCCATGTTTTGCCATTCTGCGCTATTATAAGTTGCAACTTATCCGGGTTTTTGATTTTACATGTTAAGTTTTCGATTTTTCTCTCGAAACTGGTTTTGTTTTCTCAAATTTGACTTTTCTTGGCTCATCTACATAGGTTGCCGCGCTATCGAATGATAAACGAACATCGAAGAAGTTTTGCGTTTTGTGTCGCTCAGAAAAGGGCGATATACACGAATTTTGTCCACCTTCTTATTCTGTTATTATAGCTAGATTAGTAGTAGTAATAATATTATAGGATTGGCACTGGCTCGGCCACTTGTTGAACGATATACGGTTTGTAGAAACCTTTTCGCAACGACCTGGTCTGGAATCGAATTTAGTGTGGGCGGCCAGTTTTAAAAAGGATGGCCAGGTTCCGGCCAATAGGAAATCAACTCCGGGCAGCGCCTTATCCACTGTCTCACCGTCGTCTCGTGGCACCGTGGATTCCCGGGAGGATGTCCCTGTTACGCCGGCCGAACGGGAGAACACGCGTAAGCGTGCAGCACCGGCTGAAGTACCAGGAGCATCGAATCCCAGAAAACGTGGAACCCCTGGAAGCGGCTTGCCGGCCGTAATGCAACGCTTTCAGTCCGTTGCTTCCAGTGTTCCGCTGCGGTCTGCGAACACGAGAGGCGACAGTGTTCCGACTAAAGGAGTTAGCGCGCGGCCCGTTCGTCGAGCCAACGAGCAAGCCTTGCCAGTGGCCAAGGACAGTGTGCGAGCGACGGGACGCAAGACGATGACCTACTGAGTAACTCCGTGCTTTAGTTGACATGCGAAAATAGATTGGATTGCCTTTGATTTTGACTAAGAAGTTTTATCCTTGATGCGAAAATTAATATTGGCTCACTGTGGATAGGTTTTTAACTAGAGTTTCTAGTTCTTCTGATAGTGAAATGAGTATTGCGTTTGGATCTTGCGTTTGCAGTATTTTTTACGGCGACTCTGTTACAGTTCATGAATGTCTTAAGCCGATTTTCTTTTATCATTTTATGGTGCTGTCGATATTCGGGTTTTTAAAGTAAGGTCGTGTTGTATTGGCATTTGGCAAGAAATAAAAGAAACGATGAACTGGTTTTTAATATTGTTATTTTTAAGGTAGAAAGTAGAGAATAAAACTATCTCGTCGTTCTTGTACGAAAACAATTAACAGTGTAATTGGCGGAAGTTTAGTTTTGTCGGAATATACGAGTATGTAAAAGTCAACCGTAGCTCTAGAGTACATACAGTACAAGAGAATTTGCAGAATACCTTTCGAATAAGTGTGCGGCTTCAGCTTCCGGTGATCGACTAGCCCTGTTTCGCACGTCGAATATCTCCCAAGCCGTTCCAGTTTTTTAACAGCAGAAGCTATCAGATCAGATGTAATGGATTATGGAACTATTTATCTTCTCTGTGTTCGCGTCAGCAAAAACTCAACCCAGTTATTTCTATCCCGGTTTTACTCGTCCGCTGCAAATTAATTAAAATCATGATGGGCTCCTTTCTACTCAGATTTAATTACATGATCGCACGAGCGAAACGGCGGATCGAGTATTTTTAATTCAGAGTTATTTGAGTGTTATTATGTCGCCGGTAGCACCATTAATTCGTTATCAAAAATTTAAAGCAGGTTATACCATGCTGCGGCGTTAGTGCGATGTCACGAAACATAATATCGGTGATGACCTTTGTGTCCAGCATGGCAACTGTTGTAGCAACATGCCGGTGTTGTTATGTTGTTTATATTTAGTTATATTTAGTCGGTTTTGTGCGCTCCCATTGGCGGATAATATAGTAAAGATATTACCGCAACCTCAGATGACACATACATATTAGTTACAAAAACTTTTACAAAAATAACTAAGCTGAATAAATTGATAACCAAAAGGATCCTCGTAGCTTTTTTGCAACTGGAATATTATGGAAATAAGTCTTTATGATTAGTGCATCTATGACACTTCTGATTTCCAGGTTTCTGATTTCCAGGTTACCTGTTTTGTCACCTGTGACACGCTAATTCAAAACCTCAAGCACAACATTTAATTCAAGTTTATTTTTAAGAATATTGCTAATAGCAAAAATGTTATAAGCAATACAAAAATTATACTGCCACCAAGTCTTCCTTTCATATCAACCCGATAAAACGGAAGCGAGTACACAGTACCGTGCTAAATGTATTTCCCATCGCACTACAGCGCCGCCTGGTATAAGAGATCGACCAGCGCTTCCGGTCAAAACCACGTTTGGTCAAGTTCAACCCCACTCGGGCAGTACTGCTAATAGGCCTGCGGCACTATTGAGTACTGACGTGGCACCGAGAGCCTTTGGAACATTAATAAGATTTCGAAGCTAAAAAACTGAAATCACGGTTGCCCCTGTAAGTATCGCAGGGCTAAGACTTTTTCACTATGTGATTCCCATGCCAACTGCCAACGTTGAATGCCAACTGCGGAGCCGTAATTGCGACTACTGCGGGAATCCGTCGTAATCATTAATCTACACTAGTTGTGCATCAGCGTGTGGAAGGAGCCCATTCAGCATTCAAGCTCCGGTTTCACTATCCCAGAATGTCCCACAATCCGGCACGTCCCGACCAGCCAGACGCTGACCCGGACATCGTCGGCAGTATGTGGCAATCGCTGGCTAGTGGAGAGTTTACTGACGTGCAGTTCAAGGTTGGACGGCAGTTCGGCGAAGGGAAGATTTTCTCGGCACACAAGTAAACTCCGCCCCCCGATTTTAATGCTGTCTGGGAAACTGTGATAGATATTTTTGCAGGTGTGTTCTGTGTCTGCGCAACGCCGCATTCCGTGCCATGTTCCATGGAGATCTAGCTGAAAGCGGTGAGACGCCCGTTGATATTCCTGATGTTACGGCGGATGCATTTGGCAATATGCTGAGGTAGGCGAGGTCGGGGCGGTCGTATGCCCTACCCGGTAGACTTTGTTTCGATTATAGATGTACCTGTCAGTTATTAAGTTTTAACTGACAGCCATACTTACCATCCGGGATCGGGATGTGTCGCGTATTGACCTGCCCTGGTCTTTAATCAACTAACAACTAAATCAGCAACACAACACAACAACAACAGTATACAGATATTCACTGGCAGCGTCGCCAGGACACTGGTCAGGAATGTCGTGGAAATGGCTCGTACTCGTATGCAGTGTGTACAGTACTGTGTACTAGTACTCGTACGTCACAGAATAATAAGTATGTAACTGTGGAAAATGGCACTACATAGGGACAACTTTTTACTGACGAAAAGTCCAAATAAACAGAAAGCTTCTTTTGACAGAATTTCAGCGCTGCGTATATACTCTATAGTTGACCAAGCAATGGGGATATCAGATCAAATCATACTGCATATCGTCAGATAAGTATTTGTTGTCGGATATGCAGCACGTTGTAAACTACTATTGAATCGGAATAACCCGTATGGCAAACAGCTGCGGTATGTGTGCTACTTTGTATATTCGTTGCAGTTTTCTCTACTCTAACGACATAGACGGGCTGAGCGTGGACAATGTCATCCCGACGTGGATGTGCGCGGACAAGTACGGTGTGGCGCAGCTGGTAGAGAAATGCTACAGATTCGTCAGGGAACACCTCAGCATCGACAACTGTCTAAACGTCTTGGAGAATGTTCGTCTACGCAGCCACCCTGTATTACTCAGCTGGCTTACAACGTTAATGGTTGCTTTACAGGGAATGGAGGGGCATGCTGAGGAAATTATCAAGCGCTGTCGGCAATTTATCGACCGATCTGCTGAAGACGTCCTGAAGTCCGAACATTTCTTGGCTATTGGGCAGAAGACGCTGGTGATGATCTTACAGAGCGACACGCTTGTTGCCGCCGAGCATAACATCTATGTCGCTGTCGATAGGTAACTGAAAAGACTTTAACAACACGATATTCTTATTGCTTAATATCGGCTTTGATACAGATGGGCGCTGGAAGCATGTAAGGCCAACAACTTAGACCCATCCGGCGCCAATCGACGTCAGGTGTTAGGTGAAGCGTTGTTTCTTGTGCGGTTTCCTCTGCTCAGCTGCACGCAGATAGCGGATGGACCTGACAAGGTAAACGGTCAGTATTTTTACTAGCAGGTGGTTGAAACTACATAATTACCCCTTCTTTTTTCAAAAAATTATAACATAAGAATAACATAAAAAATGGTTTTTGAAAAGCAACAACGTCGCCAGATGCCGTCTGTTAATTGATTTTAGGTTAATCTGTTTGTAAATATCACGATACCAGTACAAATCAAGTATGAAAATATAAAAATAAATTCATAACAAAAACACTTCATCAGTGGTATCCTGGTCAGGGATTGTACGTATTACATAGTACACACATCGCGTTTCCCCGCTGCATTTGTATGGATGGCCACGAATTAACGATAGCTACGATAGGCTGTTAAGTTATAAAGAATCCATAAAAGTACAAAATCAAGAAAAACAATTTACCGGCAATTTAGAAAACGGAGTGGCATGCTTGATACCCTTGCAGAGCGGTATATTACTGCCGTCGGAAGTGCACGACCTGTATCGGTACAAGTTTGCCACGATGAAACCGGCTTCGCTGCCCTTCTCTACGGAATCCCGCCGCATGCCCACCTTCTGCATCGGCAACACCGTCCTGGAGTATAAGGCGAAGGTGTTTGTAGAGCGGACCCGGGATACTCTAGTTTGGCATCCAGGGGAAATTGTGGGCGTTGCACACTGCGGATTTGGCTATGCGTGGGAGAAACCGTTTGGCGGATCCGGTGAAGGTCATGCTGCCAGCGAACAGATAGTTCCGGCTTCCCGGTTTTTGCAGCCTGGCCATGAGATGATGGCCTTTGCGGAAAACGGTTATAAACGTGCTACGTTTTGCCGAATGGACGGTATTCGCTATGTCGTTAAGTGTGATCATCACGAATACACTGTCCGTTTCATTGATCTGATGGTTCACGAAGCGAACAACATAAGGTTTAGAGCAGCTAACGGGGTGTAAGGTTTACGGATGATTCGGGACGAATAATATATGCAGTCTAACGGTGGCGCTCGCGTTTGTTTTTCTGATTTACCTGATTCGGTTTAAAAGGACAAAACGTTTGCGGGAAAAAAACACGTAGGTGGTTCGTGATTCGAAGTAAAAAAATATTATTTTGAAAACTTGTAAAAAGAACTGTTCACGCGGAACCCGTTAAGGCACATGACAATCAATGGCTCCTGCACTTGCACTTCTAATCAGTCCAAGAAAATCCGTTTTTTTTCCGAAAAAAATAGTCCTCCAAGGTGAATTCCTGTATTTGACATAGTTGTTGTCACGGGAATGCCGTACGACACCAATAATGTCCAGTATGACAGCAAACATCATCTAATGGAAAGTCAATAAAATAACATAAGGTTGCTATATATGCACTGACATTGCAAAAATGACATCAAAGTGGGGCACATATTTCGGCATGGGCTTCCGAATCGAGAGGGAACTTACCAAAATACGGTATTTCGGATATCAGAGGTACGTTCAAAATATTCTCCGGCAAATGAGACACGGGATAAATAAACTTTTCAACTCTCAACAGTTATAAAGATCGAAATAGTTCAGTATCTTGGCATTCAATCTAGTACATGAGGGTGCATACTTCCGCTCCCGTCAGTTGAATAGCTTTCATTAATTATGTGCTGTACCGGTGCATAAGTAATTATTATTGCGAATGCCAAAGTCAGAACCTAACTCACGACAAAAAAATTACTGCAGTAAAGTTCAAAAAAATTGTACTGTATAGCGGCTCGATCAAGTGGCACCACAGAGTTGGTGTGCGGGAAACACCGAATCCTTGTTCATACAAGAGTTCGGCGAAACTTTGCACAAGGCAGAGCCGTCTCGACAACATCACATTCTGTTTTTCGATTCTCCACCGCGCCTGCGATTAATACAAATGATTATGTGAATGTACCAATATCAATGACCTTTACCATACTGGAGTATGTGTATACTGTTTGTTACCTCAGTTTATCGTATTATTATTCAG